TTTTAGCCACTTCAAGTCCGGACACTTTTACCCCCTTCCTGTCCAGGCCAATTTTCAGCTTTCAGTGCTATCACACTTTGAATGACAATTTATGAATTTTTAGCATTGTTTTGAGAAAGATACAGCTTTATTTTCTTGGTATTTATTCACCACTGGGATTTTTTTTTTTTTTTTTGCTATATAAATGAAAAAGTCCAAACATTTTGAAAAAAAGTGTTTTTCTTATACAATTTTGCAAATAAATAATGTTTCATCATAAATCTTGGCCAACATTTATTCAGTTATCTTTTTAGTCAAAACAAATAACCCAAATTAGTTTATAGCCAAAAACTATAAATTAAAAAAAAAATTTACATTTTTATTTCATTTATTTATATAATTTATGTGTTTGTTTGGTTTCTTTCACATACTGTCACCCTAGCAGTACAGTGTCACAATGGTGACACTGTATTACTTGTGGGGGGTGATGAAGAATTTTTTTTTTTACACTGATTGCTTTTACACCCATAAAGGCTGTAAAAGCAATCATTTCTCCTTCTCTCTGGCTGCATTCTTGCAGCCATTGAGAAATACTGTGTGAGCTGTGATTGGTCACAACTTGTCACATGATACAAGGCTGTTGTGAATAGCCTTGTACCATGAAATCTCTGTGATCCTTCATATATTTCAGTAAGCAATGATGTAATAAGTGACATCTTGCTTACTACTCTGCATGTGTTCACTGTGATCAATCAGTGGAACACATGATCGGGACCTCGCACAGAGGTCGTTTATAAATGGCCACCCGCCCCTGCACTGCCACCATCCGGCCATTTATATACAACAGCTGGACGGGAGGTGGTTAAGAACACTTGTCTGAACCATAGCCAATTCTGGAAGATATAGAAGGGCCTTTTATAGACTACTTAGCCTACCTCATTTGGCACTGACTATTATTCTTAGGCTCCATGCACACTGGGTTTAAAAAAAAACACCAGTTCCCTTGGCAGAAAAAAATGGTCATATAGAACATTTTTGTACACTTGTTTAGGCACTTTTAGGAGTGTTGAGCACTTTTTCTGCCAGAAAACCCCAATCAGAAAGGGAAAGCAGAAGGGTTTTATTCTGTGTCTAAGTGTCCTAATGATCATGGACCCATAGGATATCATTGGGCTGCATCTACAGACAAAACAAAAAAATCCCATTCAAGCAGCGTTTTTTAAGCCAGTATGCATGGACCGTTACAAGTATGAGCACAGTGCCTCTCTGTCATGGGCTCTCTCAGAGAGATCTCATGCTACCCTTTATGTGTGCCAATGAAAGAATCAATCTAATTTTGGGGGTTGTTATGTTGAAAGCAAGTTATCATTAAATACATCAGTGCTGGCAGACACCAATCAGAACATTTATAATGAAATGATAAATAATTTGCACTTTTCTGTTACTTTTGCCATTTCTTCTTCCTTTTGGACCCATATGAAATCCTAAAGGACCCTGAAAGTTGTGTGTCATATCATTGCTAACTGGTCATATTAGGCTGGATTTGCATTATATGACATGCAGATTTTGTACCCCAGATGAGTCTTTTAGGTATATACAGTACTTTGAGTGATAATAGCACAATACTGAGCATAGCCACACATGCTACAGTTTTCATACTGTATATGCTATTACAACAAGCAATATATCTAGTGATTGTTTGAGTCTATATATGAGACATCTGATAGTAACTTACATGGTCTGATGCAAATTTAATATATCTGCTTTGGACATTAAACTGTGCTATGGGGTCCCCCAGTCCTTGTACTGTGCCTGTTGGTGGCAGAGTGCTGGTGACATGGAGAACTGTGACATGGTTCCTGTGTGTTCAAATCCCTGAACACATACTCTATCACTAAATATTTGTTATGGTTAACACATTTTGATATTTGACTATGCACAATTGATAGTCCTTAATCTAACAGATCTTTTTTTTTAAGTGTTGATTTTTGGATAAGATGGGAATTATCCTCTCTTTCATCTAGAAACATTTCCTGTCTGGACTTACCCTATGAGTTAGTCTTTACACTAACTCACCTCACACTTCAAATGAGTGTGCAAGACCCTTCTTTCTAGAAATATTCTAAGACTACTACAGTCTACTTTCTTATGCTGGACAGGATTAATGGTCCAAAAGGAGTATACACCAGGGGCAGACTGACCATTTGGAAACTCGGGCACTGCCCGAGGACCCGGGGTCAGTAGGGGGCCCCATGAGATGCCCCTGGTACCTTTTTCATAGGCTTTTTTGAGTTTGGGAAAGGACACGGGCCCCATGATCCCCTATTGCCGGGGGCCCCATGAGTTGTTAGTCTGCCCCTGGTATACACTTTGCTGTGCAAGGCATAAACTCTTGGTTCTAGATTATTTCTGCACCTGCACTTTCATCCTAATGCCGTGAAGGCTTTGTTTCCTATAACAATTTATGTTCCTCCCTCTCAAGGAAATTTTGTTTTGTTAGATCTGTACTTCCCTGGAAGATCAACAGACATCGCATTCTGATACTTAAATACAGAGTCCCACTGGTTTGTGACCTGTTTGTCCAGGTGTCCTCATTGGACCTATTTACTAAATGAAGATTTCCCTTTCATCTCTTCATCAGTGAGATTCTATATGTGTATATAAACATACTAGTTGTTTTGTGATCCTCACACCTCTCTGTCAACAATTGATGTAAGTTAAAAGGTGTAATTTTCATCCCTGCATTCTGAGATCCCTGTACATCTATTGCGTTACTATGTATCCTCAATTTGCAATTCCTTTTCTATAGGTGTGTGGATCTCTCCACCCATCTTTAAAAGGTACTTGATACTCCATCCTTCTCTGTTTCAAAATGAAGGCTTGTTTCCTTCTCTTTGTTTAGATTGTGTTTAAGAGGGCTGTTTTATTGTGGATCTCTTTTTCCCTGCATTTAAGGGTTAAAAGTATTCTGTTTTCATTCTCAGTTGTTCACTTGGTGATCTTGGTTGAGGCATACCTTTTTTTTAATATTTATTTCCTGAGGTCAAATATTACATATCAAAGATCATGAACATTTTCTTATAAACATTTTTGTTCTTCATTTTTGCTGTTGGTTTAAGTTTTCCCACCTGTAAGGCCATTGTTGGGTTGTCTTACTCTTTATTGTTGAGGTTCATTATCCTTTCAGATAAAACTCTACATACAATGTACAATGATACAATGAAGCGGATTACTCGGTGATAACCATTGGAACAATTCTTTATTGGTTACATAGCAGGATACAGTAATAACATGCTAAAACCCTGTGCTAGTGGTGCTACAATTTCTGCTTTGGATCACCACATTCAATCTTGGTGCCTTCCCTTATAATATCAATTTCCACATTGCTCCACCCTTTCCTTTTTTTCAGTGGTCTGTAGCCTCTTTTTTGGGGTGTTATGGGAAATAGCCCTCTTCAAATAGGCTGTGGTCTTAAACTTGCAGGTAATTGGAATAACCAGAGCCTTTGATAAGTGAAAGAGTGTCGTAGGTGTGATAGTAGATTTTCAGTGCCTCCACCCAGGACAGGACCTTTGTAAGGAATTTGTTAATTCTGGGAATTAACCAGTAATTGAAGCAAAGTAATTGGAAGGGAAGGAACTACTGCACCCAGCATATAACAATAATTATAAGCTTATAGATACACACCGGTATAGAAACAATACAATTGATAAAAATGATAAAAGATTAGTAATAGTACGTACATCCAAAATACAACTATATAACAGCATATGAGCAAATTATCCCAACAAGAGACCTGGTGAAGTTATTTTAAAAACTAAAAAAATCACTGTGCTCGGGCCAAGCACTCAATACCAAACTTACAATAAATATGTGCAAAAAAAGTGCAGTGCTATAAAATATTTGACATATTTGACATAATTAATACAAATTCAGGGAAAAAAAGCAAAAAAGGAAAGAAATTAAAAAGAAATTGTCCACAAGTGTGACATCAGTCCATAAGTAATCTCTCAGTCACCATATAATGATCTCATAAGTCCAAGTATGGTCAGCAAATAGTGTATTATAATATTCATAACCATAAAAACACCCATGAACAGTTTGAAAAACAAATCCATGCACCCAAGCAAAGGAAAGACACTCCAGCTCCTTACTGAATCCCAATGACCAATATGTTTATAAATAATCAAGCACCGCTCGAGAGGTCAAAGCCTCCCACAGGGTGAAAGTACCCAGTAGGCAAGTTGTTAATAAGCTCTGGAGAAAATTCCCTTGCAGAGTGAAATTGCACTTGCAAAATGCAGAGTCTATTTACCTTTAATAAATCAACCCTATTATTTGCTATGCCACGGATCTGCAGCAAAAAGTACTCTGTACTACTGCTGTAAACCTGATACTATTACCCCAACAATGGCATAGACATGTATTCAGGATACACTTTATTCTTCATGCAGGGAAATGTTCCATTTTGTATTGAGCTACTTAGGAACTATTATGATCTGTTTCAGACTGAGCAAATGTCAATATGCTGTAAGGGGAGGTCATCATTGTGTGTGTGTGTATGTGTGGGTAGGTGAGGGTAAAAGAGATGACGAGTGGAATGTGGGTCTTTGTTCAGCCTGTTAATAATGTAAAGGGCAAAAATGGCTGCTCCTTTTCATGTTGATGGCATTCTTGCATCATTTGTTGTTGGTCTATGTTCTTATCTTATAAAGTTCTTCATGAGGTGCCCCAAGTGATTATATGCTTAACACATGTATTGCCCTGGTACTTTGAATAAATTACTTTAAGGCTTGTAAAAGCAAGCACAATAAGTACAGTAAGGCATATATTTGTTTTTCTCTCTTTGATTATTTCGTATAGTTTAATCATTTAGCATCTTATTTTTTTTTCTTATCTTTTAATGTTTTTCTACTCTTTTTTTTCAGGCAAAGAAAGGAAACTATGCATTCTTATGGGATGTGACAGTTGTAGAGTACGCAGCTCTAACGGATGATGAATGCTCTGTGACTGTCATCGGAAACAGCATTAGTAGCAAAGGCTACGGAATAGCACTCCAGCATGGCAGCCCGTACAGAGATATTTTCTCCCAGAGGTAATGCCAGCCTGCTTCCATTTGTTCTCTAGTTAACCTCTTTTGTACTGTAATAAAGTAGCTGATGCTTCATTGTGACAGCAGTGTACATATTCTCCACATGTGTAAATGTGAAAGGTGACATCAAGACTGTGTAAGGCCAACTTCAATGTGCCTTCAATGTCTACACATTATTGCATTTAAATACCCACCAGAGCAGTGTAGGGTTGACATCGAGATAGAAGTAAAACTAAAATGCTGCAAGGCTTTAAGATTTGGAAACACATTATATATTTTATATCTTGTAGTCTGGTTTTCATTATTTTAATTTTAAATTTCAGGTAGTCCAGCCCTGTGTACAAATGCACTGAGGGCATAAGTCAGTGTCCAAGAAGACCTAAACTGTGGAAGCTGTGGCCAAAAAAGCAGACACAGAGTAAAGTCACCAGTGTTGTCCATTGTCTGCTTGCAGCTGATCTTTTCCCTGTTGCTGACTTAGCTTGCCTTGTTCAATCTTGTCAGATGAGCAGGCTTTGGTTTCCCCAAGCCAAAACTGCCCCTCTGATAAATGGTGATCTGATAAGCCATGGGAGAAGTAGTAGGAGTTACAAAGAAAGCACAGATCCACAGAATGGTTGAAGCAGAAGCAGGGAGATACTTTCACTGCAGCTCTTTAAGTACAGTTTCCTCTTCAGCAGACCCAGAATCTCTCTTCCTAAATCTCAGCAGTCTAGAAGTACCTTAGGTGACCTCACTCTGATATATAACAGATATATAACTATGAGATTCAAAGCACAGAAGGGCCTAGGCATAGAAAGTGTACTGCTATTTTTCAGAAGGAATTCAAGACAAAAGGTAAACTTTTCCAGGGCCTTCATGGACACAATTAATGTTTCTAAATGTGTCATATAAAATAGCATATATTTATTTTTCAAATTCAGGTGCATTTTAACTCTTTAGTTGAAGGTTATGACGTGCTTGGATAAATATATTTAGTATCACCAGAGAAAAAAGGAATTTTTTGCTAAAAATAGGAACTGTAAACCTTGGCCAGCATTGATTAGAATGGCCATAGACTGTTATTCCACATTGCTGTGAAAAAAGTTGAGATTTTCATTTCTACTTTGTGTGCACATTTGGACTGATATTTTCTGTATAATTACCAGAAATAGCTTGCTGTATTAATTAGAAGAATGCATTTTAGAGCTGGATCTGATATTTTTAAATAACACTTTGCAAAGAGCATTATAGTTATATGACCCAAAGCAAGTACAAGCCTTCAACATTTTCCTGTAATTAGAATAATCAAAACCAGTGTATGTTTATGGGTTACTGGACACCTTTCCAGCTTTGTTAATCAGATGTTTGTAAAATTCAATTTCCATGTTTAACCTATTTTGAATTATGTTTTTATTTAATAATATAACATTTTGGAAGTTCATACTTTTTTTTTTTCTTCATGTGGACTGGGAAATGTTTCTTGTGCATGTGAAAGCATTTGTTGGTTTGATAAGGTAATTTGTTTGTTAAATCTGAACTCCAGATAGATAAAAATGGCACATATTAATGCACCGCTGTGTTCATATAGTAAAGGTATTTTAGTGCAAGGATACAAGCAGTGCAAGTATAAGTCTCTTGAAATCTTTTGTAGAGCAAAACTCTGACTGGGAGAGGGAGAAGCAGCACAAGGGGCCAATCATCTGTACTGCAGTGCAAGGAGCATACTGACAGAAGAGAGATTAGAATGACAGAGATAAGAGCCCATCAGTTTGTTGTTTCTTTTTTCATTGTCATTTAACAGGTTGGAGGGGCAAAGACCAGTAGGTGTTGGCTAACTGTAGCAGAGAAAACTCAGATATCTGCCCTGCCTGACAGGGATGTGCTATGTTCGAGAGCTGTGTAATTCTCAGAACTGGATGGACAGAAATATACACTGATAAGAAGATACAGTTTGGCAGATGGTTAGATGGATGTTATTAAAAGGTTTATCAATTACCTCAATGGTAACACCATATCATGGTGACAGGGAGACAGTGGAGAGTTCATCTCAAGTTGCTTTAATTCCTTCTTTTTCAATAATTGGCAATCTTCTGGACAGAGTTAGCAGGTAGAGGTGGTGGAGGATGAAGTAGAGGGTTAAAGGTAAAAAAGGACTGATGAATACTGGATGAGAGGGCATTAATGTGAGTGATGAAATAGGTCTTTTGGCAGTGCAGAGGCAGCAATTGTATTTTTGGAGGTCAGATTTGTTTTCTTAGTACTATGTCACATTACGGGAAGCATTCACACTACTCCTTTCACTACCCATTCACTTAAAGTGGTTGTAAAGGCTGAAGGTTTCTTACCTTCATGCATTCCAACTTTTAGTACCACTTCAATTTGCTCTGCCTCTTAGAAGGCTTTTAAAAGTTGGAGTACTAAATCCATGCATTAAATGACCTGCCAACTAGGAGCTATGTACGGCCCTAAATTGGGCATTTAAAAAAAAATCCTACAGTTAAGCACAAAATTAATTTCTTATCTGTGACCACAGTCATATAACAGACCAAGGGAAATTCTTCCTCCTCCTTGTCTGCAGTATGGAAGGGTCCTTCTTGCAGTGTCTATGCTTCCTGCTTCACAGCTGCCAATTGGTGGGCCCTCACCAATCCTTGAACAGGGGTTGAGGAGGGTCAGCTGACAATTAATTCAGATATTTCTGGGTTTCCCTAGCTGTATAAACTATTTTAGCATATCATGTTTATTTTTCTTTGTGTATTCTAAAACTGCATTTTATGTCATTACCTAATTAAAATGAATTGAAAAGTGAAAATGGAAAACAATAAAAAAGATCCTTTTAAGAATGCTTGCAAAAGAATTGCCATGACCCTTAAAGAAAGCAAGTGAAATGCTTTCTAAGAGTAGTGGAACAACCTTAATCTTGCCAAGTCCTAATTAAAGTTGCCAAATGACCTCTGTGAAGAATCGATGTATGGCAGCCTACAAATTGGCTTTTTTTCATTTTGCTAAAGAGCTCCTAAACTGTTTAAGGTGACAGAAATTAGATGAAATGTACAAAAAGAAAACAAAAGTCTAAAAAAAAAACAAATTAGGATTTTATCTAACATTTTGACTACTGGCAATCAGATATCACTGCTTCTGACAGCTCTGGTCTAAAATACCAATCTGAAACCAGTTGGTATGGTGATCATGTCATGTGATCATTATAACAGTATAATGACAAGGTGAATACATGAGGTTTTTTCACAACCAAATATCTCCTGGCTCTTGCTGTTTAACTATTTCTGTTTGTGCGCCTATAGGTGTAGTTTTAAAAAAAAAAAAAAAGTTTATGAAATTATTTAAAAAAATATTTTACCTATTAGTCAGCTTGTAATTATATCCTGAACAGGATATCAAATTCCAATATCTCATATATGTAAAATATTGGAAAAATGTTTAGATAGGAACATTGGTCATTGAGCTACTGTTAAATTAACTGATACTGACACTGCTTCGTTTTGTGCAAGAATCTATAAATCTACACATCAATTACCTTGAAAGAGTTATGCTCAGTGTTACCCCTAGTGTTTAGTCATACCTTAAAAGTACACCTGGTATTAGATAAAGTGCAAGGGCTATTCTTGCTGCCCCCCCCAAAAAAAAAAATTACTAGTTGCTCAACTGTCTGGTCACTCTCATGGAGCATATTTACTATGAATGAGAACAGTAAAAGTTACAGAAGAATTCTATATCCCTATTCATGCTTCATATAGTTGCAAAAGCAGCAGCCAAGGAACCCATGTTTTCAAAAAGTGAGGTCATCAATAGGATTCTACATGATTTTCTAATTGCAGGTCTACTTAAATGCTTTAGTATTTGGCTTACAGTGGTTCCAGAGGCTCAAAGATTTTTACCTTCCTGTATTCTATGTGCCCCCCCCCCAATCCTAACCTGAGCCATTTATGATCCAACAACATTCTCAACAGCCTCTGCTGTCTGGGGACTCTTCTTCCTCATTGGTTGAGGCAGCAGTGGGAGCCCAATCACAGCCAGTGTGCCAAAACGTAGGGGGTGAGCTGCGGCTCTATGTGTCTTATGGAAGCAAAGAGTAGCGGCTTGAGGATGAGCATGCAGAGGTGCCCCCAGGGTGAGCGGCTTTCCCTGGGGGCACTGCTTCAGGGGGAGGAGCCAGGAACACTAGTGGGGATCTGAAAAGAAGAGAATCGTGGCTACTCTGTGCAAAACCACTGCATAGAACAGGTAAGTATAGACATATTTGTTATTTAAAAATAAACAAAAACCTTTAGTGTCTAAGTGTCTAATGCAGCATATCCAAAAGAGTTTCATATTTGCCTTCAAGCCAATTTATATCTCTGGTAATTTGCAAAGTATACATTTAATCCCAACTTGTAAGGGCTTATTTAATCACATCATTCCAATAAGAGATGATACTAACCTTACCAACAACAGTGTTGCTTTGCCTTGACTGTGCTGGCTGGAACTACATTGTGATACAGTGCCATTAAAGTGGTATAGGATTTCAGCACCACTCACACTTCGTTATACTCCTATTGACATGCTGGCATTTATGTAAATACTAAAAGGAGTGACGGAAAATTTAGCTTGTGCGTATTCAGGTGGTGGGAGCATGGATTGGGACTCTGAGCAATGTTTTTTAATGGGTTATGAAGGTGGGCAATATTTCCACCATTTGATTAAGTGTAGTTAAACACTACTGAGAGATTGCAATGCTGATATAACTGGAACACCACAAGACTTTAGTTGTAATTCAAAGACTTACCTGTTGCATTTTAATTAATAGCCGTGTTTAAGTAGATTCTTGTATGACAGTTGTAGGCAGATTTAAAGGAGATTGCAAAAAGGTTGTACAATCAAATTATACTGTGTATAGCCAGCATTTACTCGATTGATTTATAATACTATAATATACTCTACATTTTTTAGGCAAAAGCTGAGTCTGATGGATGTGAGTGTTTATTTTAACCTCATTAACTATGTAACTGTGTTTTTACAAAATGTTAAATCTATCTTGTGTTAAAATTATTTCAAGATCTTTAGAATTTAGTTCCTCGTCTTCTTCTTCTCAACATTTGTCCGCAACTTTCCAGATGTGATCCATCACAAGCTCTTACAGGAGTGGATCTAAGCAGTTTTTTCTCCTCCTTAAATGTTATACTGTCATGAAAATGCTGAACCATCGCTGAATTCTGTGACTTATATTGTGTGTGTATAAAATGGACTTACTGTGGTACTATTGCAAAAAATAATGTCTTAAAATTAGACATGGTCTTTTTTTAAGCATAGTTAATTTCATGGTCATTTTAGAAAAGAATTAGACAATTATTGTTTGCTTTCTCAATTTTCCTTTTCTTATTTTCATTAACTGCTGTTTTCTTTGTCCTCTTGTTATCACCTTTTTTCTGTAAAAGTACTTCATGACTTTTTTCCTAAGCAAGTGAGATGACACAAGATCATGCTTATTAAAAATGGCATTGAAATGTCAAATACAGATCTAGTATAGTAGAGGCAAGTAGTGTCTAGCAGAGAAGTTGTTCAAGCTTAAAAGAAGGTCAAATATGAACATTTTTCACATGCTAATCCAGACACAGGGTCAGAGCTAGTATATACTGATGGTTAAAGAACTGGGTAGATATTAATATTTTGTCTATTTTTAAAAACTACATGTTGTACACGTTTACTCTTAAAAGAGAAGTGTGGGAAGCAAATTAACAAACATACCGTATATACTCGAGTATAAGCCGACCCGAATATAAGCCGAGGTACCTAATTTTACCACAAAAAACTGGGAAAAACTATTGACTCGAGTATAAGCCGAGGGTGGGAAATGAGGCACCTACTAGTCAATGTAAAAAATTGGTGTCAGTGGGAGGAATAGTGCCCCATCATTGGTGTCAGTGGGAGGAATAGTGCCCCATCATTGGTATCAGTGGGAGGAATAGTGCCCCATCATTGGTATCAGTGGCAGGAATAGTGCCCCATCGTTGGTGTCAGTGGGAGGAATAGTGCCCCATCATTGGTGTCAGTGGGAGGAATAGTGCCCCATCATTGGTATCAGTGGGAGGAATAGTGCCCCATCATTGGTATCAGTGGCAGGAATAGTGCCCCATCATTGGTGTCAGTGGGAGGAATAGTGCCCCATCATTGGTGTCAGTGGGAGGAATAGTGCCCCATCATTGGTGTCAGTGGGAGGAATAGTGCCCCATCATTAGTATCAGTGGGAGGAATAGTGCCCCATCATTGGTGTCAGTGGGAGGAATAGTGCCCCATCATTGGTGTCAGTGGGAGGAATAGTGCCCCATCATTGGTATCACTGGGAGGAATAGTGCCCCATCGTTGGTGTCAGTGGGAGGAATAATGCCCCATCATTGGTGTCAGTGGGAGGAATAATGCCCCATCATTGGTGTCAGTGGGAGGAATAGTGCCCCATCATTGGTATCAGTGGGAGGAATAGTGCCCCATCATTGGTGTCAGTGGGAGGAATAGTGCCCCAGGATTGGTGTCAGTGGGAGGAATAGTGCCCCATGATTGGTGTCAGTGGGAGGAATAGTGCCCCATCATTGGTGTCAGTGGGAGGAATAGTGCCCCATCGTTGGTGTCAGTGGGAGGAATAGTGCCCCATCATTGGTGTCAGTGGGAGGAATAATGCCCCATCATTAGTATCAGTGACACCAATGATGTGGCACTATTCCTCCCACTGACACCAATGACACTTGCTGACCCCTGTTGCAGTATGGTGCTGCTGCAGCCAGCATATGTGGTTGCAGCAGCACCTCTGCACTGCACACTTACCGGCTTTTCCCTCACTCGATTTTCACGGGTCGCTCAGCTCCTCCTCCTCGCCCGTGATTGGCCGCCTGTGTACCTTTCCTGAGCTACAGTTCTGGTGGCCAATCACCGGTGAGGAGGCGGAGCCGAGCGGCAGGAGTGAGGGAGTGGCCGGAGTGACGGAAGGAGCAGCGCTTCCTGGATGGATCATCGGGAGCCAGGTAAGAGACAGCAGCTCTCTGCCCACCCCTGTACGCGCCCCCCTTGACGGAGCCTCGCGCCCCCCCTGGGGGGCGCGCCCCACTATCTGCAGATGTTGACTCGAGTATAAGCCGAGGGGGCCGTTTTTCAGCACAAAAAATGTGCTGAAAAACTCGGCTTATACTCGAGTATATACGGTACATATTCAGCTATATGGCTGCAGCATCACCGTCCGATGGTTCTAAGTCTGAGAACTGAGCAATCACATGACTGCTGATCAGTCACCGCTCTCTGCCTGACCCCTCTAGCATCCACTGGAGTACAGGGAGGGAGAGGGCAGGAGCAGCTGTCTCAGGCTCTCAGTGGCATGCTGAAAGGCTGAGCCAACTGCTGCTTAGGCATGTGGGTGAATCCCAACATTATTGTCAGGATTCTTCAAGAGTTTGGATCGGCTCTGTGACATCAGCCAGCAGCAAAAGTAAGTGCACTTCTGTGACCCTGAAGGGAAGAATGTGAAAAAAAAGCTTTGATCAGACTTCTCTTTTAAGAGGTGCCTGTAACTGGTATCACTTCTGAATTTATGCTGACATTTGGGATCATCCTTCTACTTCTTAGATATCTTGGGGACTATAGTAGTGAGATTTTTCCACTTGGGTTTCAAAATCCTCTCCTATTACAAAGAGGTTTCAGTCTTTACATTGGATTTGTTAAACAAATTAAACATAATAAAATGGGTCCCCAAGAGATTAAAACCCAAAAAGCAGCTCTAGTAGCCTCCACCTTTGGCACCCCCTCCCCACCACACATACAGTAATCGCTTTCTGCCTCTAGATGTCCTCAGCCTTCTGAGTTGAATGATACCCTGAAGGAGCACCACCATGATGCTTTCATAAAATAATATACAGAGATGTTCTTACTGTTGTCACCAGCATTGAACACTAACCACCACTGGAGAAAATCTAAAGGGGAAAAGTATTCCTTGCATCATCATCTGACCATCCTGAAAACATCTAGAAAGTGGGGTGTATATATATATATATATATATATATATATTTTATAAAGTATAGCCAGGGAAGAGATGGGAGCCCTGCATTGGACTGTAAATTACCGATAATGCGGTAGGAGAAATTGGGCTTCCAATTCTGCAGAAGGAGAAGAGAGACTCTGTGGTAGTAGATGTGAGAGCCAGAACTTGGGTCACCAGAAGTTTTAAACTAGCCAGCACCCACTCACATTAAAACACATTGGGGTTTATTTACTAAAGCTGGAGAGTCCAAAATCAGACTCCCTTCTGCATAGAAACCAATCAGCTTCCAGGTTTCATTGCCAAAGCTTCATTGAACAAGCTGAGGTTAGAAGCTGATTGGTTTCTGTGCAGAAGGGAGTCTGATTTTGGACTCTCCAGCTTTAGTAAATAAACCCCATTATGTTTAGGTTGACTCATAAATTGACAATGTAAAATAACAATAACTTTTGGTTTGGTATGATACTATTTAGATTTTAACCCTGATGATAACTGAAATATTTCCTGTTAACTATTTAGGCTGAATAGGTTATCCAATTGCCTAACTGTTCAGAGACTTTGCTTACAATTTAGTTGGATTTTTCCCATTGCTGCACTGGATACTGATCTACAGACAATAACATTATCAGTCTTGACTCATCACCTATGCCAGAGCCTAAAACACATTTAGCTACATTTATGGAAACCATGTTTTTTTCTGTCTTTTAGAATTCTAGAGTTTCAAGAAACTGGTTATTTGGATGTTCTGAAACAGAAATGGTGGCCACGGATGGGACGCTGTGATTTAAACAGTCATAATAACGCACAAACGGATGGCAAAGCACTAAAGCTGCACAGTTTTGCTGGAGTATTCTGCATCCTGGCAATTGGATTACTGCTTGCTTGCCTGGTGGCTGCCCTCGAATTATGGTGGAACAGCAACCGTTGTCGGCAGGAGTCACCAAAAGAGGTCCATAACTACTATTCTTATTATATAAAAGGTATTTTAGGGACATGCATCATTGGAAGCAATAACCCAATGAGTAGATTTAGTTATGCAATGACAACCTACAGCACCTATATGATGGGTCTATTAACCAGTGTTATAGTATAAGCTTGGTATATATGCACCAATAATGCATGTCCCTACACAGCTACATGCTGTGACAGTGACACATGCAAAAGTGTGCCTGATTGATACTTAGAAGCTTAAGCAGATTCATAATTTGCTTCCCACCTTTGAAATGATAAAGCGTTTAATGCGTTATGGACCAGCGTGCACCTCAAAAAATCTGTCAGGTGCAAAATAATTTATAGACATTGTAATAATTACCACATGGATAATTTTTAGTCACTGGCTTAACATTGTCATCTTATTCTGAGTATCCCCGTCCAGAGATAGTTATGTGCACATTAAGTTGGTCAGAGTATAATGCAGTTGAAAAAATAAAAGTTACTTGATATAAGTATAGTCATAATATGGTCATTATGGAGGTTTTTGTTTTGCTTAAAAATAGGAGATAATTGGGGCTCTGAAGAATTTCATTTCTCACTGCTTAAAAGCAGAGCAAGGCAAAAAAATAGTAATATGGTAAACGAAAACCCTTTGTGAGCACAGCAATGCTGAATGTTGTCATGCATAAAGCAAACATCCATTTCCATCAATTAAACTTCTTAACAAGCTAACCTTTCAGAGATTTTCTTTTGTTCACCAGATGTCTCTAAACAAAACATTAACATTCAAATGAAGACAATGTTTGAGAAGCCTGTGCATGTAAAATATTTTTTTTTTCTTCTATTTATTATAATAGGCAATGCAGTTGGCATTGTGATCAAAATTAAAATTGTCTTTGAGTCCATAAATTTCAATTGATTGTTGCAGTTCTGATGAAATCCAGGATTATCTCACAAATCTTTGTGTCCTGCCCTATTAGACTCCATTGTTTATGCCCTAGCAAAATATGATTTGGTGTGCTAGAGAATATTCACATCAGTCCCAAGGAGTGGTATTTAGTTTTCTTACCCAAGTCCCACACGCTTGGAGGAATCTATTCAAATTCCAATTAAATTGTCAATTTACTGCAACACCCAGAGTAGAGGTGCCCATGAAAAGATTAATTTGTGTTAGGCAAGCTGAATTATTTTGCCACAGTTGCTGAAATCTTGCAGCTGCAAGGATTGTGATCAGATAGGTTTAAAGTGTTAAGCCATTTCCTTTTCATTTTTATTGATTAGGCAGAGAAGTTATTGCTACAAATATTCTGTATGAGCATATCATCAGATGTACATTGAAAATTTACCTTCAGCTAAAAGAATTACGTTCTTAAGGTTTGTTTGAGTCTAGGAAAGCAAAATAATGATGACGACCTGCAGTTATATTAATATGAAAATTATCTTTCATTAAAAGGGGAGTGTGGGATTAGAAAAAAAAATAAACAGTTATACTCACTTAGGTGAATGTAGCATTGGTCTGATGGTGCATTTGTCCCCTGCTGCTTCTAAGACTGAGCACTTAGTGATCAAAGCCTGCTGATCGATCAGTCTGCAGTGAGCAGAGAGCTCTCTGCTCTGCCCCTCCAGCCCTCACTCAGCTGGGACGCGGGTGTGTTGCTAAGAGGCTGAGCCAGCTACCTGCCCAGTCATCTGGGTGGATCCTGACTTTAAAGCAATAGAAAGGTAAATTCTTTTAAAAATAACAAATATGTATACACTTACCTGCTGTGTGCAGTGGTTTTGCACAGAGCAGCCTGGATCCTCCTCTTCTCGGGTCCCCCGCAGGCTCTCCTGGTACCTCCTTTCTGTCAGGTAGCATTTTGCTGTGAGGGCACCCACTACTCCATGTGTCCATTCACACACTGAGCTGTGGTTTGGCCCTGCTGGATCTCGATGGGGCTCAGGTGAGTATTAGGAGGGGCTGGGAGAGTTGCTATCCACAGAAGGTTTTTTACCTTCATGCATAGACTGCATGAAGGTACAAAACCTTGAGCCTTTACAACCACTATAGTCTCCGTTCACACCAGTGCATTTTTTAGTGCTTTTTGCAGAAACGCACTACAGTCCATTTAATATGGTTTTCTATGAAACATGTTCACATTCATGCTTTTTTGTGCTACTGCATTTTTGGAAAGGGTCAGGGACTTTTTTAAAAGCAAAAAGCAGCATTTTTGCTACAATAGAGTTCAATGGAGAAACTGCTGAAATGCATGGTAGTGCGTTTTTGCCACGGTTTTACCACATTTTGTGTTTTGCATTTTTATTCTGCCCAGCTACAAAAAAAATTCCACTTTAACAAAAAAAGAAGAGCTGAACAAAACGCAAAACGTGGTAAAAACACATAAAAAAATGTGTCAAAAACACATGTAGAAAAACGCAAAATGAACTGCAAAAAGCACTGCAAAACAGACAAAAAGCAAACTGCATGGGTGTGAACGGAGCCTTAAAGTCGGGATCTCTTAAGAGTCTGGACCTGTTCTGAGAAGTCGGCCAACAACGGACTTAAACCTACTGTCGGCTGAAAACTTCAAATGAGGGTGTATTTCCAAGAACACAAAACCTAGGCTTAAGTTTTTATATAAAATAATGTAGTTGTAGGAATGGTATGCAAGATGGATTGTCAGTCATTTTATAAGTCTGTGTACCAGGTAAAAAATAATTCTTTAATTCAAAGGAGGTGGTTTTTCTAGGATGAAATGCTGTCATCATTCTGTTGCAGATAGGAAGAAACATTTCTGCCTTTTGATCAGACTCCAACATTGTATGTTTGCAGCAAGTTACACAGTGAGAGGCTGAGAGTCACTTTGTCATCCCAGCATCTTAAAGATTGAAGATGGTTCCCCTCTTATAGAGAGAAAAGCAGATGGAAAATGTGCCAGGGGGTACAGGGATCTCTGTGTGAGATAAAACCTGTCCATAAGTGTTAAACTGGGTATAAATAGGTAGTTTTTTTCATTCAACCAGTGGGTTGAACAAAAAAAAAAGATCCCTGCATCAACACAAAGTTGTATTCTGACAGGGGGACCCCTCCCTCCCTGCCAGAATAGAATGATCAGCACTTGCAGCCATTGGCTGAAAGCATTGATCAAATGCTGGTTTCCCAGCATGGCTGTTGGACAGAAGCCAGCCAATGTTCATGTACTGAAAAAAAGCCACTTCCTGCTGAATTGGCCAATTTTAGGTTTATGTCGACTGGGCTTTACACTTACATATTGCTTAACACACCACATTCAGTTTAACATGAAACACATCTGATACCAGATCCACTTTAATGCCACTGCCCGCTGATAAGGGAGAGATTTCCCTTTTAACATCTTAAATAAGTTCCCTAACCCATAAAGGGGATCTTGAAGCTCTAAAAGCAACCAGTAAAATAGTTTATACGTCCTACATTATTCCACAAACACAACTGAATTTGCAGATATGAACAGCCCAACTCTTTTTAATTGCATTTTTTTTTCACAAAAAGTATTGATGGTTTCTCGTCCCCGAAATTGTTGCTCAATGGTATAATGAAGTCATACTATGCACAGTTTAAATCTAAAAGGTTCTCTATGCCAGAAATTGTGAGACACAAATATGTCCTACTTTTAAAGAGACTCACGAGACCATTTGTTTTAACAGCAATCTTCCCATAATTAAAAATCATTAAGACCACTTTTGGGCAGTTCCATCTTAGACGTAATGCCAGAAGTCCCAACAGACTTAGAGCTGTTAAGTTAAACTCTATAGTTTTTTCCTTCCCCCCCCCCCCCCCCCCCCATCCCCAGCAGCTAAATAAAAGCTTTTATAGGAAGATAAGTGGTGGAGGACCTGCCAGGAGAAAGAATATTAGACATTCCCAGAAAATGGTGGGGCTATGATGGTGAAGGAGGTTTTTGTGCTAATCAGTTTTTCTAGCAAGTACAAGGCTCATTGCAAGTAAATAAACATGATTAATGGAAAGGAAAGCACTGCAAATAAGCATTTTAATTATTTGATTTTTACATGCTTTTACGTGCAGTTTTTTAAGTTGGTGACCCACTGCTTACTGCCCCTATGTTCCCAATTACTCACTGCCTCTGTTGATTTTTCCCAACAAAAACCCACAGTTAGAATTTTGTGATTTTAGCCTAAATGCAATGTGAAGGATACAATGATCTTTGATACCAACAGAATAGCCATTAAAGCTTTTAATGTTTTGTACTTTTACGTGATATTCAGTAATTCCAGGTAGGAACAAAAGCTAAAAACTCAATGTTCCAGAAAAAAAAAATTGCTTTAAGTCAAGCTAGTTATTGTTTTCATCTATATTTTCCTTTCGTGTTTGGTAAAATTTTCAGAAGCATTTTTTTAGGTTCTTTCATTATATAAAAAGTTGTTATTTAAACATCCTTTTATTTAGGAATATTTTAAGAACAAAACTTTTTTTTATGCCAAATGTTTAAATGTAAAAAAGGTTATTTTTCATTCTATATTTAATTTGGCATGTAGCTTTGAAAACTATATCTTAATGATAAGATTATATATTTCAATAATACACCCACACACAACCTCTGTAGTTGGATTTTACCTAAGATGATGTATATCTCTGATCAGTATTAGTTTGATGGAATAATTCAATATCACTTAGAAATAGTTTTTTATTATTTAGTTTGTTACCCTTTTGACTGCCCTGAAATAAATGGCAGTATTATTACAGTCTTGGAAACAGCAAAATGAGTTAGGAGTTTTATATTGGACTGAACCCCCTTGGTTCTGTTTGTTTTTTTAAGACAATGGGCTCCATGACAGAAGCAGATTGAATGTGGTATTTACTTGTCTGGGAACATTTTGCCTAAACATCGCATGGGATCCTGAAACTGTCAATTCACTATACCATTTTGTGGCAGTATTTATAGCAAAACACTCAAGACACTTATTAAATACCGCATGAAAAGGCATTGAACTCAGTTCACAAAATGAAATAAATAATTAAATGCATGCAGTAATTAAGTA